ACCAAACTGGTAGAAATTATTAACGTACTGACAGCGCACATAGGACTTATCAACCAGTCAAATTTCAACATAATTACTATAAAACCCAAAAAGAAAACTATAAAGTCTGATTACCGCTGCTTGTGGACGCTGTCGAAATCGTCATCATCGTCTAGAATTCGCTTACAACCACGCATGTCCGATTCGTCTATCTGACTTGTTCTGCTCAACTCCTTCAACTCGTCTATCTCGACTGGCTGCAATAGAGCTAGCAATGATTAATTTTCAGTTAATAACGAAATTTTCCCAAAACCTGTATGCTACAAATCAGAGGACAATATCTGGCAGGAAATAATATCATAAGCACACCTCGCTTAAGAATGATGGGACGTTTGCTAACTCAACTTCTATGGCGTTATCACAAGAATTGTCACCTTCACTTCCTGGAAAGAATGCTACTGTACAATGAACTCAAAATTAGACAAAGTAACTTGATCCTACATTTTACCCGAATAAGAACTGATCAAACAACTTCCAAACTTATCCCTTTCATAAGCTTGGTCAAAAATATTAATCAATTCGCACATTTATTCCCAATAGTATGCACCTTCTCCAGCTGCGTTCCTGCTTTGATGAAAATTCGCAGTTTCCATTAATGATAGAGCAGATAATTGATTTAGTACACTTAATATGCGTTCATCGGTGTGAGATGATAGAAGCCCTTAATGTAGAAACTAGGATATAGTGGGAACGGCACACAACCATTTTACCTTTGCTAAGTTTGCGAAGCAAGCTCATGCCTGTATGGTGATCAAGACAACTTCTTTCAATCAATTCATCAATTCGTTGGCAAGGACGACCAAAAATAGCTTCAAGAGCAGAGCAGACGAGGTCGCAGGCGAAAATTAAAAGACCCTGAAGATGAAATATAACACTGAAAATTTCAGACATTCTGGTTTATAGATCAATCAGCAACTCAACTAAAAAGTGGGATGCAAATGAGTGATCATCTTAAAGTGTCCATTCAACTCGACTCACTTCCCACATTAAATACTGTT